TAAGCCGCTCCTCATAGGGCTTGTTCTCCAGACCCTTGATCATTTTAGTCGCCCTCCTCTGGACACATTCAAGCTTGTCAATATCTCTCTTGAATTGTGGTGCCCAGAATTGGACACAATATTCCAGGTGTGGTCTAACCAAAGCAGAATAGAGGGGTAGCATTACTTCCCTAGATCTAGACACTATGCTCCCATTGATGCAGGCCAAAATCCCATTGGCTTTTTTTGCCGCCACATCACATTGTTGGCTCATGTTTACCTTCCTGTCCACGAGGACTCCAAGATCTTTTTCACACGTACTGCTCTCGAGCCAGGCATTGTCCCCCATTCTGTATCTTTGCATTTCGTTTTTCCTGCCAAAGTGGAGTATCTTGCATTTGTCACTGTTGAACTTCATTTTGTTAGTTTTGGCCCATCTCTCTAATCTGTCAAGATCGTTTTGAAACCTGCTCCTGTCCCCTGGACTATTGGCTATTCCTCCCAATTTGGTGTCGTCTGCAAACATGATGATCCTGCCTTCTAACCCTTCATCTAAGTCATTAATAAAGTCTTACGTCATTTGATGTCCTTCACATGGCTCTGTTTTAAAAGTGTCTCAAAACCGGGGGAGAAGCCTGCATGTGATGAGATTCCAAAATAGAAAGTTCCCCAAACTCTGCCTTGCTACCGCTTGTAAACATGGACCTGGGACTTTTCAAAACCAGAGTTCCTCTTTGTTTCTTTTTTTTTCAAACAAATGGATGACAAATTTGATTACCAAACGGTCACCAGAAAGTCTGGAATATTGTGTCCAATTCTGGGCACCACAATTGAAGAGAGATATTGACAAGCTGGAATGTGTCCAGAGGAGGGCGACTCAAATGATCAAGGGTCTGGAGAACAAGCCCTATGAGGAGCGGCTTAAGGAGCTAGGCATGTTTAGCCTGAAGAAGAAAAGGCTGAGAGGAGATATGATAGCCATGTATAAATATGTGAGAGGAAGCCACAGGGAGGAGGGAGCAAGCTTGTTTTCTGCTTCCTTGGAGACTCGGACGCGGAACAATGGCTTCAAACTACAAGAGAGGAGATTCCATCTGAACATGAGGAAGAACTTCCTGACTGTGAGAGCCGTTCAGCAGTGGAACTCTCTGCCCCGGAGTGTGGTGGAGGCTTCTTCTTTGGAAGCTTTTAAACAGAGGCAGGATGGCCATCTGTCAGGGGTGATTTGAATGCAATATTCCTGCTTCTTGGCAGAATGGGGTTGGACTGAATGGCCCACGAGATCTCTTCCAACTTTTTGATTCTATGATTCTATGATTCTAATACTTTTAATTAGCACTATTGCCTTCAGAAGCAAACCTTCTGGTTGATTTCTTCACAAATTCTCCATGTTGGGAGAAAGGCAGGATATTCAAAGAATAAAGCAATGAATGAAGCTGATGAATGGATCCATGAATAAAGAAATATTTCTGTGCAGAAATATTAATTGGATCCATGTTGGGGAAGAGGCAGGATAATCAATTAATGAATTAATATTTCTGTGCAAAAATACTATTTGTATCCATGTTGGGAGAAAAGCGGGATAGGCAATGAATGAATCAATGAATAAAGTAATATTTATGTGCAAAAAATACTATTTAGGCACATGTTGGAAGAAAAGCAGGATATACAATGAATGAAGTGACATTTCTGTGCAGAAATACTGTTTTCTGCACAGAAAATTGTGTTTTCCAGGGAAAACTATCCAGCGTGAATTTTGTATAGAATAAATGCCAAATTACAAAGATTTTTCTTAATCCAAAATTCCTTTGGTAAGTTTCCTAAAACATAAAAAAAACCACATTTATTGATCACTAGCTATACTCGCCACGTGTAGCTGTGGCCAACCTTCCCTCCCTCTTTCTCTCCTTCTTTCTTTCTCTCCATCCATCCATCCTTCCCTCTTTCCTTCCTTCCTTCCCTTTTTTTCTTTACTTCTCTCCTTCCTTCCTTCTCTACCTCTTTCCTTCCTTCCCCTCCCTTTTCTTTCTCTCCTTTCTTCCTTCTCTACCTATTCTTGGACTGCTACTCCCAGCAGTCCTCCTGACTGATGTATCTACCTACTATCTATCTCTATTTAGTCTATATATCTTATCTATCTGGAGGATTGCTGGAGTTGCAGTCCAGGAATAGGAAATAGGAAATATGTATGGATTGGGATGCTCTCAAAGAAATCCAAGGAGAAGCAAACTTGCAGCTTGGAAGATGTGCATTTGGAGCATCCTCCTCTCCTAAAGGGCCTGGCCCAGGGGATGCTGGGAGATGTCGTTTTTGCACATGCGCTGTATCATCATTTTGGGGAGTTTTAAGTTGTTTCCATTGTTTTTTGGAAGGGGTTTATGAGTGATGGTCACTTGTTGGTGTGTTAGGGGTGTAGTGTCCAAATTTAGTGTCAATTTGTCCAATGGTTTTTGAGTTATGTTAATCCCACAAACAAAACATCTTTATTTGTATAGATTTTCTAAATATATTGAAATATTCTTCCTATTCCTAACACATGAGGTATGTCTTTAGTTACGCAAAGATGCCATTCAGCACAAGTATCACATTTCACAATCTCTGTGCAATCCAACATTTGGAGATGTTTGCTATACAACTTTGTACGTTCAACATTAAGGGGGAGAAGAATTGATATTCCATTTTGGTCATCTTTCCAAACACAATGGTGTGAGCAAGAGGAAGGTAGATCCGAGTTCCTTGTAAAGGAAAGAAGGAAAAGAAAGAAAGAGAAACGCTTCCTTTCAATAGAGTTTTTTTGCATGAAAAGACTTCTTTAGAATAATTACAGACTTGACACAGGAAACGTAGCAGCCCCCGCAAGCCTTCGGCAAGCTGGGTAATTATCCAATTACTCCAATTACCTTTTAATGGATTTGCAGGGTGCCTTTCCAAGAGGTCATTGTTGGCCAAGTTCCCAGGTGGACCCAAAAGAGGTTTTGTTTTCCATTGTACTCTTAGAACAAGAGACCCGAAACGCTTCTATGTCTCGCTTCAGATCTAAGGTCTCTGACTTTGAACAAAAGTCAATTGACTGGCTTCTCTCTCCCTACTTCAGATACTCATTGTGGCTGTTGTGCACCTTCAATTGGAATTATGACAATTGTATCTTAAAAGAGTGTTTTATTAGCCAGATTGATTCAGAGGGTTTGCCATTGCTTTCCACTTTACTCTAATATTCCATGGCTAAATGAGATTTGAACCCCGGTCTCCCAGAATCATAGTCTAACATTCAAACCACTATACCATGCTGGATCAGATGTGTTCTTTCATGTCATTTCCAACTTATAACCATCTTAAGGCCTGAGAGTGTGACTCATCCAAATTCACCCAGTGGGTTTTCATGGTTGAGCAAAGGATTTGAATCTTGGTTCCACCTAATATTCCATCTAAGCATTAGGAAGAGCTTCCTGATGATCAGAGCTGTTCAACAGCAAAATATGCTGTCTAGGAGCTTAGTGGAGTCTCCTTCTCTGGAAGGTATTAAGTGTGATGGCGCAAGTGGCACCACCTATGTGTAGAACTGTTAGTTGCAAGATTTAAACTGTTGTATCATGCTTAATCTTGCCTTTTTACCCTGCTTATGTATAGTTGGATTGATTGGTTATTTATAGCTGTCAATCAGTGTTGTTTGCACGAGTTGAATTGCTTTCTCAAGCTCAATTGTTTGGCTCCACCTCTTCCTGGAGGAGGGGAGTGCTTCCCTTCTCTCATTCTATCATCAGAGTTTCTATCAGATGGACGTGAGTAAGAGATTTGGCTCTAAAAGCCCTGCTTAAATTACCTCTCAGCATCAATTCTAAGGTTTATTACCCTTGGGACTCATGCTTTATGTCCAGATCATCCTGGACAACATTGAGGAGACCCAAGCGCCTTCAAACCGGTTATTTTGGCACCAGAGGAAGGTCTTGTCCCTTCAACATAGGCCATTGGACTGGGGTTGTGTTTATTCTGATATTCACAGCCATTGAGGAAAGAGGAAACAGGAAAAGCTTCTCAGCTGCAAACTCCTTGGACTTCAGAGATTGCAAAGTATATTTCCTTTATCCCTGTTGAAACATCAAGCTTATGCCTGAGAAAGATAACTCACTGTGAACAATAAATACCATTTCGAGTTATCTTTTGTGTTTTGGTCTTTGGGAGTTCCAGTTTCCTATAGGAGGGCAAGAAGCAATCCCCTGGGGAAAGATGCCACGTCCATGCCTCTTTCACTAAGAGCTATAGCCCCAGGCGTGATGGCACATTAAGCAGAGGCTGAATGACCATCTGTTGGGATTGCTTGGATTGTGTCTTCCTGCATGGCAGAATGGGGTTGGACTGGGAGGTTCTTGGAGTATCTTCCAACTCTAGGATTCTATGCCTCCAAGTCGCTTCCAATTTATGGCAAAGTTATCATGGCTTTTTGTGAGGCTGAGAGTGTGTGACTCACTCAAGGTCACCCAGTGGGTTTCTAGGGTCAAGCAGGGAATCATGCCCGTTTCTTCAGGGCCATAGTCCAACACTCAACCCACAATACAGTGCTGGTTGCATAGAAAGACCACTCCTTTGGGTGGGTTCAAATCATCCAATTCTTTTCTAGCTGTGCCAGCATTTTCCTACCTTCCCTACCGTGGGAACCAATCTGGGGAAACCTGAGAATGTATTATGTGCAGGGAAAAAAATCACAAGATGTATTAACTGTGTAACCCTGAGCTGCCGACAGTATTTCTCCCTTTTTGCCGTGACTTCACCTTCAGTAATCCGCTTCATAGCCCGAAGCGCAGCGACTGACAGCTCTCCCTGTAGCGAAACGTTCCTCTAGAGATCAAGAGAGCTTGTTTGCTCTTGTCAAGGAACTCCACCAGTCAGCCACGGTGAAGTCTGATAGGTTCACTTTCCACTTCTTCTTTTTCCCCCCCTCTCAAATCGGGTTGAACAAGAAAGTGGCTTGCTCACTTCTTTCTCATGGTGAAAAACAAACAATGTGTCTTTGTCTTTTGGCACAGGTGGTCGCTTACTTTTCGAAAAGGAATGTCTTGAACTGAGTGGTTCCCCAGGGTGCGGTGCTTGGCTTCCGAGCAGCGGTTCCTCATCCGGATGGCGTGTCGCTTGCATCTCCTCTGTCCACCTTTCTGTGGATGTTGATGCCGCTCTGCAAGAAAGAAAGATGTCAGTTTCAAACATCCAGGTCGAAGGAATGCTGGACAGTGCAGATTATGAGAATGGCGCTGGCCCACCATCCGACGACCACTTAAGGAACCTGAAAGCTCTGACTCAGAAGCTGCGGCTGGAAACACGGAGACCTTCCTACCTGGAGTGGAAAGCCCAATTGGAGGGGCTGGCTTGGAAGAGCCACCCCAAACCCCCCGAGGAGGAGGAGGAGGAAGGCCAGGGTGAGAAACCAAAGGAGGAACGCATTCCCGTAAGAGAGGTGCGCCACATTCATCGTCTCAACGGGGCATCCTCCACCCAGCAAGTCCTATTGGCCCCAGGAAAAATTAGCAGCTTTGGTAATATTGACGAAGCTTTGAACTGGCTGAGGAAAGAACTGGTAAGTAGTAGTACCTTCATTCAATTGTTCTTATTCCATGTCTTCCAGATGACTCAAACTTTTGGCAACACTTTCACTGAGCTTTTGTGGCAAGCTTTATTTGAGTGTTTGTCACTGTTGTCTTTCTTTGAGGCTGAGAGAGTTGAACTTTTGTAGCAGATCACCCAATAGGTTTCCAGGGCATTTTCAACCCATACTGAGGAGGAAGCAAACATGTTTTCTGATGCTCTATTTAGAAACTAGGACACGGATTCAAATATCAGGAAAACAGACCCTTTCTCCATATTAGGATGACCTTCCTGATAGTAAGTAGTGTTTAACAGTGGAATATGCTTCCTCAGAGTTTGGTGGAGTCTCCTTCTCTGGAGGTTATTAAACACAACCTAGATTGCCACCTTTTGGGAGTGCTTGGATTGTGTCTCCGTCCATGACAGAATTGGGTTTTGCTGGATAGCCTTTCTGGTTTCTTCCAGCATAGCGATTCTATTATTCTATGGAAGCCCTAGTCTGATATATGAATCACTACAACCCACTGGTTCTTTTGAAACATTACAACCTTATTTTAGGGCTTTCTTGGTAAGACGTCTTCTGGGGCAGGTTGCTATTGCATTCCTTTCAGGCAAAGAGAGTGTGACTTGCACAAGATCACTCAGGGCTCTAAGCGGAGATTTGGAAACTGATGCCCTGGAATGCGAACACCCAAACCATGACAACTCCCAGCTCCTCTTAATCTTCATTCATTTATCTTCTTCTTCATTTATATTTGATGTGTACAACATCTTTCCCATAGAGATAAGTCTCAGTGCAGCTGCTAAACCTAACAACCAATGAAAACATATTGGGCAGAATTCTGTTGGTGTCTTACTTGTGCATAAATTCACTGACAAAAAATGCTTAGCTACATTTGTTCAATGTTGAACGTATGCATTCAATATAATGTTGCAGTGATAGGGCAGTGTGCATGGTGCATTGCATATTGCATATTTAGCTGCATACATGTATTTTATAGAAATATGTTTTCATATGTAGCTTTTATAGAAATTCATTTTAATATGTGTATTAATTAGCAACAGTAAGAACTGACCATGGAACAACAGACTGGTTCAATATGGGGAAAGAAGTATGGCAGGGCTGTATACTCTCACCCAACCTATTCAACTTGTATGCAGAACACATCATGCGATGTGCGGGGCTTGATGAATGCAAGGCTGGGGTTAAAATTGCTGGAAGAAACATTAACAACCTTAGATATGCAGATGATACCACTTTGATGGCTGAAAGTGAGGAGGAGCTGAGGAGCCTTCTAATCAAGGTGAAAGAAGAAAGTGGAAAAGCAGGGTTGCAGCTAAACATTACAAAACCCAAGATGATGGCAACCAGACTGATTGATATCTGGCAAATAGAGGGAGAAAACATGGAGGCAGTGACAGACTTTGTATTTCTAGGTGCAAAGATGACTGCATACGCAGACTGCGGCCAGGAAATCTGAAGACGTTTCCTTCTTGGGAGGAGAGCAATGACCAATCTCGATAAAATAGTGAAAAGTAGAGACATCACACTGGCAATGAAGATCCGCATAGTCAAAGCCATGGTATTCCCCATAGTCACCTACGGATGTGAGAGCTGGAAGGCTGAGCGAAGGAAGAGAGATGCTTTTGAACTGTGGTGTTGGAGGAAAGTTCTGAGAGTGCCTTGGACTGCGAGAAGATCCAACCAGTCCATACTTCAGGAAATAAAGCCCAACTACTCACTGGAGGGAAGGAGATTAGAGGTAAAGATGAAGTCCTTTGGCCACATAATGGGAAGACAGGAAAGCTTGGAGAAGACAATGATGCTGGGGAAAATGGAAGGAAAAAGGAAGAAGGGCCGACCAAGGGCAAGGTGAATGGATGGCATCCTTGAAGTGACTGGACTGACCTTGAAGGAGCTGGGGGTGGTGACGGCCGACAGGGAGCTCCATGAGGTCACGAAGAGTCGGAGACGACTGAATGAATGAACAAGAAATTGCATTACACAGTGTTGCAACTTGTAAACAGCATGAGTATAAAGTTATGCCCCATCTCTTTCACGTCAGATCTCGGCCAATAAGTGATCTCACCAAAATGCAATTAAACAAATTTGAATGTGAAAAAAACAGTTTATTATTTTTAATACTCTCAGAAGCACGCCATTTAGGATTGGGAAATGGGACTGCAGGGATCCTTGTCTCTGTCCTTCCAGTGAAGGCAATGTTTATAGTATCAAGTAGAAGATAAATGTTTCTGCTATGGCACCATAGAACATCTTTCCCTTCAAGGAATGATTGGCAACACAATTGGTTTATTCTCATGCCAAGTTAAGACTTTCTTAATTAAGAATTAAGACTTTCTTAATTAAAGCCTTTAGGGCCTAACCGATTTTATTCTAATTCTCACACGCGTGTGGTTTTAAAAAGTTTTACACAAGATGGAATGTATAAAGAGGAAGGCAACGAGGAGTGGCTTGGGGAGATGGGTATGTTTTGCCGGGAGGGGACATGATAATCATATTTACATATTTCATATTGAGAAGTGGAGAAGCTTGTTTTCTGGAGCTCTGGACACAAGGTCACCGAGCAATGGATTCAAATTGCAGGAGAAGAGATTCCACCAAACATTAGGAAGAATTGTGTTGTTGAGAAATGTCATGACCGGAATCACTGGATTGCTGGGAGTTTTCTAAGCTGTATGGCCATGTTCCCAAAGCATAGAATCATAGAATCAAAGAGTTGGAAGAGACCTCATGGGCCATCCAGTCCAACCCCTGCCAAGAAGCAGGAATATTGCATTCAAATCACCCCTGACAGATGGCCATCCAGCCTCTGTTTAAAAGCTTCCAAAGAAGGAGCCTCCACCACATTCCGGGGCAGAGAGTTCCACTGCTGAACGGCTCTCACAGTCAGGAAGTTCTTCCTCATGTTCAGATGGAATCTCCTTTCTTGTAGTTTGAAGCCATTGTTCCGTGTCCTAGTCTCCAGGGAAGCAGAAAACAAGCTTGCTCCCTCATCCCTGTGACTTCCTCTCACATATTTATACATGGCTATCATATCTCCTCTCAGCCTTCTCTTCTTCAGGCTAAACATGCCCAGCTCTTTAAGCCGCTCTTCATAGGGCTTGTTCTCCAGACCCTTGATCATTTTAGTCGCCCTCCTCTGGACACATTCCAGCTTGTCAATATCTCTCTTGAATTGTGGTGCCCAGAATTGGACACAATATTCCAGGTGTGGTCTAACCAAAGCAGAATAGAGCATGGAGAGCATTACTTCCCTAGATCTAGACACTAGACTCCTATTGATGCAGGCCAAAATCCCATTGGCTTTTTTTGCCACCACATCACATTGTTGGCTCATGTTTAACTTGTTGTCCACGAGGACTCCAAGATCTTTTTCACACGTACTGCTCTCGAGCCAGGCATTGTCCCCCATTCTGTATCTTTGCATTTCGTTTTTCCTGCCTAAGTGGAGTATCTTGCATTTGTCACTGTTGAACTTCATTTTGTTAGTTTTGGCCCATCTCTCTAATCTGTGAAGATGGTTTTGAATCCTGCTCCTGTCCTCTGGAGTATTGGCTATCCCTCCCAATTTGGTCCTGTCTGCAAACTTGATGATCATGCCTTCTAACCCTTCATCTAAAGCATTCTCTCCTGATGTTTCACCAACATCTATGGAAGGAATCCTCAGAGGTTGAGGGGTCTGTTGGAAACTAGGCAAGTGAGGTTTATATATTTGTGGGATGTCCAGGGTGGGGGAAAGAACTCTTGTCTGCTTGCGTCAGGTGTGAATATTGCAATGGGCCATTTGGATTAGCTTTGAATGGCCTTGAAGCTTTAAAGCCTGGCTGCTTCCTGCCAGGGAAATCCTTTGTAGGGAGGTGTTAGCTGGCCTTGATTGTTTAATGTATGGGCTTATCTTGTTTTTGAGTGTTCCTCTTTATTAACTGTCCTGATTTTAGAGTTTCTTTTAGTACTGGCAGCTGGATTTTGTTCATTTCCATGGTTTCCTCCTTTCTGTTGAAATTGACCACATGCTTTTGGATTTCAATGGCTTCTCTGTGTAATCTGACATGGTGGTTGTCCGAGTGGGCAGCATATCTGTGTTCTCAAATAACATGCTGTGTCCAGGTTGGTTCATCATGAGGAAGAATTTCCTAACACTAAAAGCTGTCCTTCAGTGGAATATTCTACTTCGGAGTATATGGAGTCTCCTTTTTTAGAGGTTTTTAAACAGAGGCTGGATGGCCATCTATCAGCAGTGTCCTTGAGTGGATAACTATGTACAAAGGTTGTGGGGCCGAGTAGGTTCCCCATCTGGGAACGGCCTTCCAGAAAGGGATGGAGCCACTGAAGAACAGTTCCTCCAAGGCCCAACTCCAACTTAGCAATTTGAAAACATGCAAATGTGAGTAAAGTAATAGGTACTGCTCCGGCGGGAAGGTAACGGTGCTCCATGCAGTCATGCCGGCTACATGACCCTTGAGGTGTCTACGGACAACGCCGGCTCTTTGGCTTAGAAATTGAGATGAGCACCAACCCCCAGAATCGGGCACGACTGGACTTAATGTCAGGGGACAACCTTACCTTTACTTATTGGAGGTCAAACCAACTCCTTACAAGAGATATGGACACGTACATAAGTTCTAATAAGTTATTGCATGGAGATACAACATGTCTCATAAAAATATTTTATTTATATATTTTTAAAAATTTATGATTTTCAAGATAATAACATACATTTTCTAGATTTATGTCATTTCTCATTGCGTGCATGTGACACGCCTACACATGGCAGCAAACACACTAACATGTTGAAACTCAAAGTTTGGAAAGTTCTGTTCTGGAGCAACAGAAAACAAGCCTGTTCCCTCCCCAATATGACTACAGTGCTCTGTAGAGAGAGTATACCTCAAGTTATGTAATATGACAAGCCATACAGGATTGTGGCATCACATTTTAACAACACATTGTATATCTGCCCATCTGCCAGT